GGGTAAATAGGGAAGAATTGTTTTGGGCTCAGTTGTGATTCTTGCTTTTCTTTCCTAGTTTACTTGTAAGATTCAAGGAGGGGCTGCAGCTCACGCCTCTCCCTGGGATGTTGTATGAACTCACTCTAAATTTGCTTCTGAATTAATAAATTTATTATCATTCATCAAAAAAAAAAAACAACCACAGAACCAAACACCATCCAAATCTAGCACCCACCCTCTTTCTTTGCCATTACCAACATTGATTTGTCAAACTTATAAAAATTGAAAGAACATAAAATAAGACATGTACATATAAGTAAATGGAATAAGAAAAATGAATTTATGAAAGTATAACCTGTAAATAAAAACTTCCATACTTCCTTACATCAGTGCAAGAAAACCAGCACTTGCTAAGTGGACTTTTAATACTAACAGGAACAAAATTTAAATTAAAATAGGAATTGTTCATCAAGAAAGAATAACCATGTATACCTGTAGTCGTAAGTAAGTGGTTCACCAACATTTATAGAACGAGCTGCAAACACACCTACACGTGTCTCCCCATCAACTTGCCTATGTGAATGTGAAACAGACATCATAAGGATGGTCATGGTCCATATATCACATGGACTTTAAGAAAGAAAGTACTCAAGGGCCATCTTCAATAAATTATATACATGCATGCATGCGTATGCATGTATTTATACACATACATACATGCGTTGTATGTATGTATTATATATATACATACATACTTGCATGTGTGTATGTATGCATTGAAAGAAGGTAAAGTAATTCATTAAAACACCACTATAGGCATGTACATGTAAGAGTCTTGTACAGTGAGAAACTATACATATATAGGCTAGGAATGTACACCAGTCACAAAAACACCATGTTCCATCATCTTCAATAAACTCAAAGCCATTTACTGGAAACAATTTCACTGGATTGGGTTGTTTAAATGCTACAGTTACTTCAGTATGATACAGCACAAAACTAGACATTAGGATCTTGACTTCTCAGTATGGAACTAAAACCGGGTTGCAGTAAAATACAAGATCAAATAGTTTTTTTTGTTTTTTCATTTATTTTTTATATTTGGGGGAAAGAGGGCCATAACATTTAGAAAGAAATGGGTTCCAGATAGGCAAGTTGGTTGATGGCATGCCTACATAGAAATCAGTTGTGAAGAGAATGACTGGCCTTGGATGCATTTATACACTCTCCCCTTAACTGTTACAGTTTGAGAGAAGCTAATTCTACATGATGTCACCAATTCTGCAATATGCCAAGAAAAAGTAGATCACAAAAAAAATCAAATGTACTAACCATTTTTCTAGTTTACAATTGGGATCACAGCTGTGATTTAAGAAACGAGAAGCATTGCCCTTGAAAGTTGCATCAATTGTGAAGTCCTTCCGAATTTCACACATGTAAAAGTTCTGATCACCCCTAAATTTCATATCCCAGAGCCTTTGCTCACACAAAGCATCATTGATGACTGAATGAAAAAAAAATTAAAAGGTGCAAGCATGAGAAGAACATGTAAAACGAATACAATACTAAAGACAGTAAATTAAATAATAACCCATATTTGTTTTACATTACTACTTTAGCGGGGAGAGAGAGAGATTTTAAAAATGATGCATGTCAACAGAGAATTTCTAGATTCTGATTAAACATTTCAATTGAAAGAAATTCAAAAAAGCATCTATTGACAAAGGGAATATTCCAAACCCAAAAAAAAGGAATTATGAAGGATGTTCTTATGATGCAGGTAGTAATATTAGAAATAAGAGAAGAGGTGTGATGATATAGATATCATAGTCTTACTTGTTAGAGCAATAGCGAAGGAAAGGCTGAAATGGACAAATAGTACATTATATAAATAACAAAAAAAAACTCCTCATCTAATAATGTAGCTAAACCAAGGTTAGAAATATACATCACTCATCCAAGTCATGCTACCCAACTGATGACGGCTCAGTTGGGTAGGATCTCTGACTCGTTGTAGCAGATAAATGGGAAGTGGGATCAAACACAGCTGCCACCAGGATTTGTGGGGTGAGGGTGGGGTGGGGTGGGGTGGGGGAGCACTGTTAGGGGGATAGGGGATGGGGTAGTCCCATGAACCAAAAAGTCAAGTCATACTTGGAACCACACTTGGTCAAGAACCACTGCAGAAAGGAATGCATCTTAGTCAAGCAGTAACTCAGAGACTCAAGAAGCTTTGACTCTTGATTGAGTCTTGCATGAGCAAAAGCCTCATTAAAAAACCAATTGCGTATTGTCCCAATGTGAAATTATATGTCACCTCCAAATCATTCAATTCTTTCAGGTTTCAAATCAAACATCTCATGTAATCTCTGCCTCAGCCAAAATATTTCCCAGTAACATGCAAGGCCACAGCCAATGATATTGCTGGCAGACATCATCTTATAGGCAACCATCGTCTCTTATATTATGGAGTGGAACTATTCTCCTTCATGATGATTATAGGAAACCCAGAAGCAATTTTATTATCTATCATTGCCAGATAACTTAACATGCCCAGTATACCTGTAGTTTATTTTAACAATGCTTACACAAAATTATTTTTTGATAACCATGAATTTTATTAATTATGAGCAAGTGTGTACAAAATGTACATCCAGCCAATACAATAGGTGACCCCTACTACCCTTTCCTCATCATTTAATTTACATGTTAGCCTAAAACATTTCATTACTGCCCACTCCTTGTTTTAAGAAGAAAAAGGCTAGAGGTAAGAGCATGACAGCAACATACTGGATACAGTATTTGTATCTTGAGAATGTGTCCCAGATTTTGAGAATAAAGAGCTGTGTATCCTGGTCCTGTATAGTGGTCCACTGCTTTGGGCAATCAGGTTTGGGCCTTCAGGCCAGGCCCATTCAAATTTTGACAAAAATCCAACCTGAGCCCACCCAAATTGCACCCCTAGTTCTATATTTGGGTATCTTGCACCAATAGTATACCAGCATTTTGCTTCGTAAGTATGCCAATATCTTCATTAAAATATTATCCATACACAAGAATTTTTACCATGTATGGATTGCTTATTATAGAGCTATTTGGCCATATGCTTTATTTCTTATTTCTCTTTATATTTATGGGCCTCAGTATGTTAGTTGCTTAAGTGATGATTAGTGCAGCTAACAATTAAGGACACTCTTGTAATTGTACATTGTTTCATCAGTAGAACTAATAAAATACAATTTAGGGGGCTGGGGTACTGTTTGATTCTCTTCTCCCATACCCTATTTCTCTCTCTCAACTCTTCTCTAGTAACCTAAACCCTTCTCTTCTCACTTCTGCTCATTATTTCTTGATTAAATAAACAAACCTTATTTTACTTCTTGGTATCAGAGCAGTGATCTATCACTTTCTTTCTCTTTCTTGAATCCGTACACTCTAGAATCAGCAGTGTATATAGAGGGTTAAGTTGCGGATCATCATTGAATGCTGTCACCTAATTGGTAGGAGGTTTTGGAGATCTCACAGTTTGTTTTTGAAGCCTAGAAGATTCCTGAAGATTTCCGACAAAAACCTGGGCCAATTGGAATAGAATCTAATCCTACTTGAGGTAAGGGTTAAAAGAGGTATTTTGAGACTGGCACTTGGGGCTCTGTAGGAGCCTTTTTGTCTGTTTTAGCTGCCTTTGGAAAGTGATCCAGGAAGGCTGATAGGAGCAGCTGCAATTTCTCTCTTCCTCCTGAAAGCCAAAGTGGGTGAAACCCTAACTTCAGGTGTGGTATTGACTAGAGATCAGTTGTTTGAACCCAGAGTCAAAAAGTGTATCTTCCTTAGTTATGCCCCCACACAGAAGGATTATTGTTGCCATGATCTTGTTAGTGGTAGCCGTTTTATATCTATAGATGCCACATTTACTAAGCCTATTCCTTTTTATCCTACTCCTTCAATGGAGGAGCAATCCTACTTATTTTCTCCTCTTCCAATTCTAGTTCCTTGTATTGACTCCCTTGATTCCCCTATTCCTGTTTCTTGTTCTTGTATCTAATGTGCCACCTACTCTTGTTCCTATTGCATCTCCTGCTCCTACTCCATCTTCAAATCCCAGGTTCACCTCTCCTATTCTTTCTCCATTCTCCATCCAATGTATGTAGGTTCACAGAAAATATATACATGCACAGGTTGCTCCCCCTTCATCTTAAGAGCCTCCTATGCAACTAGTTACTGATTATGACATGATGGGATCTAATCCTTCTACTCCACCTTCAGCCTCTTCCCCTAACTTGGACCTTTCCATTGCTTTACAAGAAGGTAAACATAAGTGTACTGCTCATTGCATTTCTAAGTATCTTTCTTATGGCCTTCAATCTCCTATTATTCCTTTTTAGCCTCTATTTCTTTTAAACCTATCCCACAAATTGTATCAGGGGCATTATCTCAAATAATACATGGCAAATAGTTAATTTGCCTGATGAAAAAGAACTTGTTGGTTGCAGGTGGATGTATACCAACAACTATCATGCTAATGGCACTATTAAAAACAAGGTTCAAAATTTCGATACGCTAATGGGTGTATACATAAAGTGTTGTTTTTAAGGCTTTTTTTTTTTAAAAAGGGTCTCATTTTAAATGATAAATAACAATTCTATCATCCCCTCTGAAAACATGAAAGCAATGTTTTAAAATGCGGAGGTGTGACGCAAGGCGTTCCACTACCTAGAGGCATGAGGCATAGTTCAGAACGTAAGAGGTGATTAAGCCACCCGAACACAAGGAGGCACAAGCCTACTTAACAGGAGGGGGGATAAGGAGGAAGGAGGGAGAAGAAGGAGGATCTCATTTTTCTTTATTTTTAATAAAAATCTTTTATATTAAGAAGAATGAAGAAGCATAGCACTAGTTAAAAGTATTAAAAATGATTTTAGGTTTTGTTGAGATTTGAGAAACGTATGTGTTGAGGATTTTCTATAGATTTATGAGTTAATTTTATTGATTATTTGATTAGATAGGTAGTAGGGACCATAGCACACTTGTTGGGACCCTTTGGAGTCTTTTAGAGTGCCTTTTTTAAGTTCTTTATTGAGTTTTTGTGTTCAGCTGCCATATAAGGGCATACTTGTCATTGTACCTGTTTTTAACCTCAAGTATAAATAATAATGAGAGGGAGCGGCTCAAGAACACTTCCTTCTTCATCTTTTCTACAGGTCTTTTATTTCTGCATATTTCTACTTTGTGCATTTAGTTCTTATGGGGCTTTTATTTATTCAGTTGGTTCAGTCTTTGTATTCTTTTTTTGTTATTGAGTTCATGGAAAATTTGTATTGGACCATCCTAGGCCCATCAGCCATCCCCTACTAAGGGAAATCTGATCATTACACCTTTAACTGTAATTAGGTTGATTATAACAAAGATTAGGGTTCTAAGTAGCCACAATTTGACTTCGTCTCAATCATTATCTTCTCTCTTGTTACAATCCATAAGGATGACTACATGTATCTTGGGTAGTAGATGCAAACAAAGAATTCTATTATTCCCTACTTCCCAAGCACCCTAGCAAAAAGCCAAAGGGATGGGCTTCAACAAAGTGGACCTCCTCCGGTGTAGCTGGAGATACCCACCACATGCTAAATAGCAAAGAAAAAAAATCATATTCCATAAGGCACCTTGAACTCGGGAGCACATGTACTATAATGTGCTCACAAACTAGACAAGTTATACACTATCTAGAAAGAAACCCCTTCTATGTATACAGTTGTTATTGGACAAATATGTCAAGAGAATCTGACTAAAGAAAAGCCCCTACCATGGGTTGAAATCATAACCCCCATAGACAAACCAAATCTTCAACATTCAAGAAGGATCTAAAGAAAAACTATAAGGTGCACAAATTATCCTAAACTACAAAACTATTGACCTGTTCTGTAAGAATGGATGAGACCTTAAAGAATTTTAAAAGGTCCAAGAAGTTAAAAATTGCTGATGTGCTAAGCAAAAAGAAAGCCTTGTTTTAAAACTCATGCTTTCTTCTATACTAAAATATTTTTTTTACTAAACCTTTGCAGACATATAACCTTCCTTGACATAACAACCAATGATGAATAAGAACCTTGAAACAAACAAAAGGAGCATTCTCAGCCAAATAGACAAGTATCCAACTAAATAAATACAAATTCCAAGTGTGCACATGAATCCTTCACCACAAACTAAAGAGATATTAATGCAAAAGCAAATACTTGTGTTGGTGAGAACTCTCTGGTTGGATAAAACATAAACACTTTAACAAGAAAAGGTGTAACAAATAAAAGCCATTATAAGCTGAATGGGTGTAATCATAGCCACCTTCCCCAATGTATTCGATTACAAAATCCCCTTTCTTAATGAACTCAGCTGCCACGACTCCCCATCCACAATATTGAGTCTGGAAAGGAAAACAAACTCTTAATTCAAAAAGAAAAGTTATCTATCAAAAAAACTTCAAAAAGAAAAGTTTTACAAATTTAACTAAGATCATGCTAACTTTGAAGTGTACTAATAATTAAGATTAAAGTAAGCTAGTTTGTTTCTCTTACAATACAAATTAAGATAAATGAAAATAAGACTATTTGATTCTAGTGTAAGATTACCTTTACAATTTTAATCTTCTTCTCTTTGCGGAATGGTCTATTTGTGCATGCCTCTGAGCAATGACAAGACTTTGAGCAACTTATGCATTGAACCCTATTAGATCACATATTCATGTCATAATTCTAGAACAGTTATAAAGAAACACCTTGAATTCATTTATAGATTATTATCCATAAGAGAAAATGAAGAGAAGAGAGAAGAGAGAAGGAAGAGGAGAAAAGAGAGATCTGTGAGCAAAACTCAATGCTGGCGGCGCCAACTTTTTGGTATTTACATTAGGGCAACCATAACATAATATAAAAGAGAGAAGTCGGTTGCATTATGGTTTTGGGAGATGACTTGTTCGAACATCACTCCCTTCCCTAATCTTTTCATTAAAAATAATTTGCAAAGTTTTTGTATTTACAAGAAGGCCCTTAATTGGGTGATTAACTTAATTAAACATAAAACATAAAGAAACATAAAGGCCCATTAACAAAAAGGAATAGAAACACAAAGAAATAAGAGCAGCCTATGGGCCATTTGGCCCATTCTCTCTACACTCCCCAAGCTGACCATAGATGTCAATCATGCCCAACTTGCAAGTGTCATGTTGTAGTTTGGCCTTGGAGATTCCCTTGGTAAGAATGTCAGCTAATTGTTCTTCAGATGTAATGAATGGTAGACAAATTTCTCCAGAAGCCACTCTTTCTCTGATAAAATGCCTGTCAACTTCAATATGCTTAGTCCTATCATGTTGCACCGAATTGTGGGCAATCTTGATGGCGGCCTGATTATCACAATATAGCATCAATGGCTTATCATACTCAACACGTGGTTCCTCCATCAGGGATCGAAGCCAAAGTAACTCAGAAACTCCATGAGCCATAGCCATGTACTCGGCCTCAGCTGAAGATTTAGCAACAACATATTGTTTCTTGCTTCTCCAAGAAACAATATTACATGCCACCATGCTACAGTATCCCGAAGTTGACCTCATATCATCAATGTTTCATGCCCAATCAGCATCTGTGTAAGCCTCCAGTTTCATATGACCATGATTAGCAAAAAGAATGTTCTTCCTAGGAGTACTCTTCAAATAACATAAAATCTGTTATGTTGTTGTCATATGAGTGTCCCTAGGAGCATGCATGAACTACCTAATGCAGCTAACAGCATACGCAATGTCAGGCTGAGTCATACAAAGATGTAGAAGTTTCCCTAGTAACCTTTGAAACACTCCCTTCTCCTTCAACAGTTCTCCATTAGAGGCAGAAAGTTTGTGACTCATATCAATAGGAGTAGCCACTAGTCTTGCACCCATTTTGCCTGTTTCAGTGAGAAAATCTAGCACATACTCGCTGAGAGATAAAGAATCCATCCTTAGACCGAGCCACTTCAATGCCAAGGAAATACCTCAACTCCCCCAGATCTTTGATCTCAAACTTTGTATGAAGGAAAGATTTAAGATCATCAATCCCTATCACATCAGTGCTAGTCACTACAATATCATCAACATAGACTATGAGATATGCCACCAATGAACCTCTCCTCTTCACAAAGAGGGTATGATCAAACAGAGTCTGTACATAACCAAAGTTAACAAGAGCAGCTCTAAACCTTTCAAACCACGCCCTAGGCAACTATTTGAGTCCATAGAGAGACTTCTTCAACTTGCACACTTTTCCCTCCATGTTTGTGCCATACATCCCTGGTGAAGAGACATATAAGCTTCCTCATGTAATTCTCCATTCAAGAATGCATTTTTAACATCTAGCTGATAAAGAGACCAATCTGAATGAACTGCCAAAGATAGCAGAACTCGCACATAACAGTATAAATAATGCTGACTAATTTGTGATTGCACCAAATTCACTAACCATCCAATAACAGTATAATTCTCTTGCAACCATTTCTCATAAGATGGGTCATCTTCCGATGGTGCTTTCTTGCTCCAGGAGATATACCCCCACTTGCCTCTACTACAAACATGTATTTTTATTGATTCTGACCCATACTAGATAGTTAGTTCCAGAGATTGATTGTGGTCACAGCTAATAATGAGTCTACAGGTGCTCTTGGAACTTGTCCGGACTCCGCGCCACACTTATTTTCAACACCAGGGACATCAATCTTCCTCAAACAACTCCAGAAGAACTTCAAACAAGTTCAAATGATAAACAAGGAAGACAGGAAAAAGCAAACACCAAGTACCAACCTCTATGAAGTCGTATCTACCAGCTACGTCTCACCCGGAACCCGGGAGAAACAGGAAAACAATAGCCACTCCCTGTAAGCTTCACAGAACTACACAAGACTTGGATCGGTCTTCAAGATAAAGAAAAAGAACCCCTTCAGTCACTGAGCGCCAAGGTGAAAGCTCCCTGTGGGGCCCGCAATCAGAATTCTCTAGTTGATTAGAGTTTTGGGCAAAAAACTCCAAGGACTGCCAGAATAATGACCAAGACAACATCCTTTTCTCCAAAAAACCACTAACAACTAGGCTGAATACTTTCTTCAATCACTAATTCGATTCAGCTCTCCATACACACTGTATATGGGAAAAAAAAAAGGAGAAAAAAGGAAGAAGAAAGGAGCCCGCTATGATACCAATAAGGAAAACAGTCCATAAGAATGAGAGGACTGATTTAAAAAGTGTGAAAAAGGTTAGATATCAGCAGCAAAGAGAGAAGAGAGAAGAAGAAGAAGTCAGATGCAATAGGGTTTTAGAAGATGAGTTGTTCGAACATCACTCCCTTCCCTAATCTTTTCATTAAAAATAATTTACAATGTTTATGTATTTACAAGAAGGCCCTTAATTGGGTGATTAACTTAATTAAACATAAAACATAAAGAAACATAAAGGCCCATTAACAAAAGGAATAGAAGCATAAAGATATAAGAGCATACTATGAGCCATTCGGCCCATTCTTTCTACAAGGGGGAATTACAATAGTACCCCTATGATACTAAACAGAAATAAAATAAAAGACAAACAACCTATAAACAGCCTTTTAACACTCCCCCTCAAGTTCAGACATAGATGTCAATCATGCCCAACTTGTCACATAGATCATTATACTGCAAGTGATGTAACCCTTTTGTGATGATATCTGCAAGTTGATCTTCGGACCTAACATAGGGGGTGCACACTTCCCCTTTGACAACCTTTTCTCTGATAAAATGCTCGTCTACCTAAATGTGCTTGGTTCTATCATGCAGCACTGGGTTAGCAGCAATGTTTATGGCTGCCTTGTTATCACAATATAAAGTGATAGGTCCATCAACTGTAAACCCCAATTCCCAACTCACTCAACAAATTTTTTAGCCACATTATTTCAACCACTCCATGAGACATTGCTCTATATTCAGCTTTAGCACTAGACCTAGCCACCAAATTTTGCATTTTGCTTCTCCATGTGACTAGGTTTCCTCCCACAAAGGTACAGTAGCCGCTGATAGGCTTTCTATTATCCAGTGATCCTACCCAATCTACATCAGTATACACTTCAACCTTCAAGTGCCCATGCTTTTGGAACAATAAACCTGCACCTGGGAATTTCTTAAGATATCTGAGAATTCTTTCAACTGCTTCAAGGTGGGTGGTCTTAGGGACATGCATGAATTGACTAAGAACACCCATTGCATAAGCAATGCCTAGCCGAGTCATGGAGAGATATAGCAGTCTTCCTACAAGCCTCTGAAATTGCTTCACATCTTTGCTGAATTCACCTTCATAATCACTTAATTTGTGATTAGGATCAATAGGAGAATCAACGGGTTTCACTCCCAATTTTCCCGTATCCTATAACAGATCTAAGACATACTTTCTCTGAGAAATGAAGATACCCTTTTGTGAGCAGGCAACTTCAATTCCAATGAAGTATCTCAAAGGACCTAGATCTTTCACCTCAAAATGAGTAGCAATAAATCCGTTCAATTTTTGAATTTCATCTTTCCAATCACCAGTGATAACTATATCATCAATATACACTATTAGGGATGCAGTTTTCCCTTCCCCTCTTATCACAAACAATGTATGATCAGATTGACATTGCTTGTAGCCTTTTTGTTGTACGATTACCTGGAATATGTTGAACCAAGCTCTTGGTGATTGTTTCAGGCCATATAATGACTTCTTCAACCTGCATACCTTTTGTTCATTACCTTGAACCCGAAAACCAGGGGGTTGTACCATGTACACTTCTTCTTTAGGATCACCATTTAGAAATGCATTCTTGATATCCAATTGGTGAAGGTCCCAATAGAAGTTAGTAGCTAAAGAGAAAAGAACCCTAATGGAGCTCATCTTAGCAACTGGTGCAAAAGTTTTTGCATAATCCACCCCATACACTTGAGTGAACCCTTTTGCCACTAAGCGAGCTTTATACCGCTCCACTATGCCATCAGCCCTATGTTTTAATATAAATACCCATTTACATCCAACTAGTTCCTTCACCTCAGGAAGATCCACCAATTCCCATGTACAATTTTTATGTAATGCATTAATTTCTTCATTGCATATGTCCATTCAGGAACCGAGAGAGCAATAGGAAGGTCAAGATCTCAATACCAGAGGTATCAATAGCAATAGGATTAGAAATATCAATGGAAACTAAGGTACCTGGCTGGGTAGGATCCATCCCCAGAGAATTTGATGGCGTTGGTGGTACAACTTCTAAATTCTCCACAACTCTTGAACTTGGTTGGCATTTGTGACGGCGACAGAAAACACGGAAGGGAGGAGGATCGAGAAGAGGAGGGAGATGAATCTGAAGCAGAAGAGGAAGATGAACATGTTTTTCCTCATGCCTACACTCCCCCTGAGGAGAAATAGGAAAGAAAGGTTCACTCTCAAAAAAGGAGACATCCATAGAAACATGATATTTTCGAGAGACGGGATCAAAGCACCGGTACCCCTTCTGAGTTGTAGGGTACCCCAAAAGATGCAAGGAATAACACGAGGATCCAATTTCCCACGAGTGGTTGACAGGTTTTGGACAAAACAACGACTACCAAATACACGAAGAGGAATAGACAAAAGAGGAGCTTTAGGAAACAAAAGTTTATGTGGGGCTTTGTACTCTAGCCATCGAGAGGGCATGTGATTAATG